AAGTAATATTAGTCTTAGGCTGGTATTACATTTGTCGTACGACAAATTTTTTCAAGCGTGTTGATTGTCTGCTAAATTGATAATTTCTAGATACTCGAGAATTTTACTATCCCGCAGTCAATCAACACGCTTGAAAAATTTGTCGTACGACAAATGTAATATCAGCCTTAGGGCCTGAGCAGAAAGACTGTCGTAAGCGTTTACGATTCTGTCGTAAGACTTAAGTCGGTGTCGGAAGTCAACGTACAAAGAATTTGTCGTAGATGTATGTCGCTTTGCGATGCGATAAATGCGACATACGTCTACGACAATTCTTTGTGCATTGACACCGACTTAAGTCTTACGACAGAATCGTAAACGTTTACGGCAATCTTTCTGCTCAGGCCCTTAGGGTGGATTTTCATTTGTCGCACGACAAAATTTTAAGGGCTGTTATACAATACGTCGTTTGTCGCTGTCGGATGTCGGGATGTAGCCGATGGTCCAATGAGAAAAGTTATTTATATACGACGTATTGTATAACAGGCCTAAGCGCGTTGATTGACTGCTGGATAGAAAATTTCTAGCATTCTCTACTCGAGAATTTTGTCATTCTGTAGCCAATCAACGTGCTTACAAATTTTATCATACAACAAATGAAAATCTATCACTATCGTGCCGGTAGGCGCGATCTTACGAAAGATCGATTTAATCATGGTTGAATGAAAAAAATTGCATTAGAAGAAGCAGAGATCACACACAAAAATAGTTTCAGAGAGCAAAAGTCATTTCAAGAAAGGGAATTGAGTCGCGCATAGAAATGAGTTATTTTACAACATTTTTTATACAACCACTGTATAAGAAATGTGTCAACTCGAGCGCGATAAAAAGGAATAACGATGTAAGCACTTGTAAGTGTGCGATAAGGTCGAACGAGAGATAATTATAACGACGGACGATCTCTCGCGTTGGAATCGCGCGCGCGCGCGCGCGAAGATGGTTTAATATTTACTCGCTACTCAATACTCGATTGTCAGCTTCGACGTGCCGCTCTTGATACTCCCTGCGATAAGAGGAGACCAGCGCTATCATTTCGAAAGTTGTAATAATTAAACATGAAAGAGGCTGGAATAAGAAATAAAAAATCAAGAAGATCGTACCATGCGTGGCAACTGAGAGACCGACGAGAATTTTAAATAAATACTCAGCTCATACTTTAAAAAACTCTTTTAGCACCTTTTAAAAAAATTCCATTCGAATAAACGCACAATTTGTCCTGCGCAAATAAATTGAATATCGTATTCTTGCACGTATTTTGTGTACGTATCTTGCACGTAAATGTACAAATGTATATAATGTGAACTTAAACCGCATTGTACATATTGTCAGAATAATTCGATGTGATAAAATATAAATATGTAATTGTTTTTAATAAAACGATTGTACTTATAATTATATTTAACGTTATTCAAATTAAGGGGCCTGTTGAGAAGTCCATCGAGCGTGAAGATTATTTGAGAGAGCGCTGCTTCGCTCTCTGGCCCCGTTACCTCCAGAATCAGCCAATATCGTTGCGGTCGACGGTCATTATCGCAAATTCGAGCATGACGAGTCGTATGCCTACGGTAAATGAAATCTGTCAGACGCGGCGAGATAACCTCGGCCTGCGAACACACTTGGTCACGCGGATTTGATGCAAACACTGTAATCATCGCGTTATGAGCGCATTTATATGATATTCAATTAGGCCGTGCGAGCAACGTGAGAGCCTCTTGACTCCAGACAGAGCTGCAGTTGTGCAGAAAAGTGCGATTGTTTGTGTCACATGCAGCTTTTGTGCGTTTAATGCATTTAAAAATTAAAGGGAGCACCGAGGGCGTAATTTTCTTTTATTCTACCATAAAGAACCGAGCGACCTAAGCGTCTTGTAATTTGAGTTTTAAATTCTCCGCTTTTACAATGCGGGTTTTACATTATGATAATGTTTAAGATTTTGTAACCACGCTATTATTTTATTACACGCATATGCTCGTTTACGATCGTGTGTTTTTTAGGAGCAAATTCGAGATAGCGTAGCTAAGCTATAAACGAACGTAACAGAGTCTCATAAAATGAGTTAGAATTTATCCTGAAAATTATGCGAGCGTGGGTCAACATGGCATTTTCAACAACTTTATGAGGTTTTTTTTGAAATTTTACTATACATTTTAATAAAATGTATACTAATTGTAAGTATAATTACTAGTAAAAAGTATGGTAAAATTTCAAAGAACTCATAAAATTCTTCGAAATGTTGTTCCACGATTATCTGATTTTCAAGATAAACTTTAAGAAAAAATTCTCTCCCTGTAGGCGAGCCTCCCCGGTTCTACCTGAACAGGCATTCTCCAGTAGAAGCTCGCCCAAGTTTATTAGTAAAATGTATGGTAAAATTTCAAAAACCTCTCATAAAGTTCTTCAAACTGCCACGTTGTCCCACGATCGTATAATTTTCAGAATAAATTCTAAGAGAAAAGTCTTACCGTGTACAACACGAAAGAGGAGGGAACGCTGCTAAAAATTCGTTGGAAAATAATCCGCATATCACTTTTCTCACAGAATTTTCATGCAACTCCGAAATATACAGGGTGGCCCGAGCGTTCCGGCCAGACTTTGAGATTTTATAAGAAATTTAATTCTGAACAAAAAGTTTCCTATAAACATGGGTGGTGAAATGCTTTTTTAAAAAGTTAGCGTACACAAAAATCCCTAAAATGACGGTTGTTTTATACATTTTTACAAATATCCCAAAAGTATGCGTTTTTAAATAAAAAGTACCGAAATAAAACTTGTAGAGATTTAAATTACCTTTCGAATGAAATCAAAACGACTGTACTACGTTCCATAGGTTGTGTGCCCCTCCAGCTTTAATGCACTCCCGATTTAAATTAAATGGGGAGGAAATCCGTAAAGAGACCAGATCGCCCACTACTCGATGTCGAAAGTGTATTGAAGCTGGAGAGGCACATCTTGAGAAAATTCGTTTTTTCACGTTTTTCTTCATTTTCTACTATCACAGTACTATTTTCGTTTAACAATGAGAATTATTTTGTTTTTAAAAGAAAAGGATTTTTATCTTTATTGATTTTTCCACGAAATTTATTCAGATATTTCGGTACTTTTTATTAAAAACGCATACTTTTTATATTTGCAAAAATATATAAAATGACCGCGATATTAGAGGTTTTTGAGCGCTAACTTTTAAACGAAGCATTTTTCGACTCATGTTTATAGGAAACTTTTTGTCCACAATTAAATTTCCTATAAAATCTCAAAGTCCGGCCGGAACGTTCGGGGCCACCCCGTATATCGTTAGCCAGAACGCGCGAAGATAAGAATCGCGAGCTCTGAACGTGGAACTATCTAGTCTACGGAACAATATTTAACTTCATCGCTTATCGACGGGCGTAAGCGCTCTATCTTATCCGAATCGAAGGCACGTTTGAAAATCGCGAACGTCGATGCAGACGCGCGCATCGCCGATCGCGTTTCAGATATACGGCGATATTCGTGGACGACGCAATGACGACGGCGACAGCGATAACGGCGATAACGGAGGGAAACGGGCGAAAAAGAGCCCGGCGTTTCGGCCTCTGAGTACTCACTCGGGTGGCGGCGGCGACGATACGTCTGCCGCGCTGCTGGCGAACGTCTCGTAATTCCTGTTCCTGGACATGCCGGCGAAGGACTGAACACGTACGTGGCCGGTTATGGCCGATGAAATTGTTCGCAGTAGTTTATCGTGGTCACGAGTTTACCGCTATCAATCCGAGCAGTCATGTGCTCCTCGGCGTGCGTCTTGTTTTCTTTAATTCCGCTTATTTTCACGCCGGCGTTCATGCTCGTTGCACTCCTCGTCAGGGCACGGGGCAGACGGCGTGTCGCGTCTCTCGCGGACAGATCGGTATCATCGAGCTGCCCGACGATTTTCCGCACGCCCGAGTCCCCCGAAAATTGGGAAAATCCCGATTTCTGGCGTCGGCGATGATCGCACGACCGTCATTACCGAAAGACTTTTGTCACGAAGCCTGAAAAATTTTCTAATTAAATTTACTAAGTTGCTGGACTAAGTCACGTATGTTGTCGAAATAAATCCGCCCCTTTCAGCGGCGCGGGGAAACGTGAGAAATAATCTCGGAATAAAATCGCGGAACATCCAGACGTTTTCGAAAATCTCTTTACCAAGTTCACAATGCACGCGTGCGATCGAGGCAAATAAACGCATTAGAGTAAGAGTAAATAGAAAATAGGAGGATACAGATGATTTATTGATATTTATTTGCTCGCAAGCGTTCGCCGGCAGTCATTGTAGCATACGCCCCTCTTATCGGCGGCGCAAGTGATTACAGACTGCATGTGACCGTCGGCGATAGATTAAGACATATTACGCAAGTCACAAATCACATGTGCTTGACTTGGCGAACACGGTGAACGAAGTCTCGCATCGACGCTCCGGTCGCTTCAGCTTGATCTTCAAAAACCGCCTCGTCCGCGCGAAGGAACGCCCTCAGAAAGGACTTACGTTACCGAGACAAAAAATATTCTCGACGCACTTATATTTCTCACAACCTCATTTAGTATAAAAGTAAGACAGCATCAAAATAAAGTCGACAATTCTTAGTCTCCTCTATCGAATTAAAAAAAGATTGACCTGCTATATTGAGAGCAACTTATATAGACGTGAGTTGCTCTCAATACAGCAAGTCAATCTTTTTTTAATTCGATAGAGGAGAATAAGAATTATTGACTTTATTTTAAATTTTCCCTCCTTACAACGCACGAAGTTGGCACCGCGATATTCGACAAGAGACGATACGTACTATCGTTTTATTCTAGATTTTAGAATTTTTCATTTAAGACTAAAATATTCCTTTCTCTATAATAAATATGATCGGTGCTATGTCAATCCTATTTTACGATACGTTCGAGTGTAATTGCATTGAATCCGGAAATTTTTCCTGTGTGGGTGCACCCTCAGAAAGGATTTCTGTTACCGAGGCAAAAAATGTTCTCGACGCATTTATATTTCTCACAACTTCATTCAGTATAAAAATAAGACAATATCAAAGTAAAATCCATAATTCTTATTCTCCTCTATCAAATTAAAAAAATCGACTTACTATATTGAGACAAGAGTAACTTATATAAATGTAAGCTTAGAATAAATTTTTCCTCCATCATACAACGCACGAATTGGCATCACGATATTCGACAAGAGACGATATGTACTATCGTTTTATTCTAGATTTTAGAATTTTTCATTTAAGACTAAAATATTCCTTTCTCTATAATAAATATGATTGGCGCTATATCGATCCTATTGCTTCCTCATAGAGGAAGCTTTGTTTTCGTGAAAAAATTTTTTTCGAGTTTTCTTTGAAAACATGTTTAGAATGTTCTAAAACGTCCAAAAATCACATTCAGAAAAAATGTCAGTATGTATGTATGTATGTATGTATGTATGTATGTATCTATGTATCCTTATAAGGTAACTCTAAATAACTTTTTAAATATGTAAGATGGAAAAATGTTAAACATGAAAGTTGTACGGTTTTAAGTAATGCATTACATAGTAA